AAAGAAATTCGTTTACAATCTAGAATTAAAATTGCATAGCTCCAGTGGCTTCCTCATATTGGAAGGAAGAGCATTCCAGACGACCGCAGAAACACATCTGCAACTGCGCGATGCGGTGGCCATCTTTGTTCGATGCCCAGCCAAAAGCCACTGTAAGGATGACCGGAGTTCTCGCGATGGTTTATGCTCCTTGACGTGATCAGCGAGGTATTGTGGTTCATTTGTGGTAAGTACTTTCACGTGTAATGAGTGCGACCTCACGATGTATTCGCTGCACGACCCTCACCTTCAATAGGAGGAAATTCCGCATGCAAACGGTGAGGGTTCTTAAGGCCATGAGGAGAAATATCCTGAGCTGCCTATAGAGATCTTTTAGCGAAAACGCGCCGTTACCAGGCTCAGTGGGAGACTGAATGATTTGTATGCAGGGTTCCGGGTGTCGGCACGACGGCATAGTGTGGTTCTTAATTTGACAAATCAACGCCACAGTTGGGGAACGCACCGGCGTGGGTTGCGCGAGGAATGCTGAATCCTCTCACGGCAGCACAGCTCCGTTTGACATCGCAAGCCCAGTGCGTATCTCAGCGGTGCTTTTATGGGCCAGCACAGGTGTGAGGTATTAACGGCGGAGTCTACTGTTGAGAGTTAATAGGACGAGCGAGCTTACATAGATCACCGTCTCCCCCTACACCCCCTCCCTCGCGCTAAAATCCCACTACTGGGCCCTTGCCGTTCCCTTCCCCGACTCCCCCCTCCCACTCCCGGCTCCTATAACTACAACCACCCTTGGAGCTCGCTGGCATTTATGAAAGAGTGAAACCATTTGTAATGCCGTGAATTGGTTTCCAAGCTATTAGCCCAAACCTTTATCTGGTATGAGCAGACCACACACACACAAAGATCTCCCATTTTAGCCTTTCGACTGTCACGACAAATTCTGTTAGCTGGCATTTATTAAAGCTGGCTCTGTACAACATGAAAAATAGGTGAGTCCAACACCACACCCAGCCACCTTTATTCCTCCCCATGTTCCGAAGTCGACACACCACATCAGGCGCTCTACTAATGCTGATTTGACCTTGGAAGAGGACCAGGACAGATTGCGAGAACTGTTCGCCATTGATGTGTGACCCCAGGAATCAAACACAATTTGCTGGGATCATAGCAAAGTGTGAGGACTGCTACGCCCCCCCCCCCCCGCATTGTGCCCCCCCTCCCCCGTTTCCTTCCATCCTCGCAACAGCGGCTTTTGGCTCGCCATCGAACAAAGACGGTCACCGCATCGCGCGCTTTCAGAATGCGCTTCTGCGGCCGTCTGGAACGCTCTTTCGTCCTATATTAGGAAGCCACTGGAGCTATGCCCTTTACAATCATCTTGATTGAAAATGTATTTCTTTCCAAGTGCGTTTTGTGTTTAGTTTGTTGTCCTTCCCCCCGCACTTCCAATTTGTACGGTTCGTGACTATTATAGCCAGTTTATTATGAGAACAGATGATGCTTTTTAGTTCGTAAGGATGCATTAACGTTGGTGTAAAGGAGTGGCGTTGCCAGGATCGTGTTTATGTCTGGCAGGCTCTGTTTACTCGTTGTTTATTTTGACCACATTACTGCTCCATGTTGCTGTGAGTCGACATTGGGGTAGCACAGGATGGGTTCACAGACTAGGGATCCATACCTGCCTGGGTCACGGAAAATCACAGGGGAGTCCACGAATAATCACAGCAACATTTACCCAACGCATACACGCAAACTGATGTGAAAGAGCATGCGTTGATTATTGTTAATGGCTCACGGAGGCACGTTTAGGCGAAACAAAGTCAATAACGAACCGAATATATAATTCAATTTGAGACGACGCACACTTAAATATACACCGTGATAATGTGACTGTCCTCAAACGTTTGTATTCAAATTAATTAAACAACCAACGAGCAAGAGGGCTAGGAACAACAAATGCTATTGCAGTATGCGTTTCCTCTCTCTATACATATTTAGAAATATACTGACGCCTGCCATGGGAATGTGGAATTTCAAACCTGGGCCGCCGAAAGGAGATGAGCAATGCTCCATTGCTGATGTGTTCACCGAGACACTTTTGACTCATTTTATAAAAACGGTACATATATTGTGTATATATATATACATTGTGTATATACATACATTGCCAGCGTGCAAAAATGCACCAGCAGATATCCGCCGCAGCCATGCGTGTGTACAGTAAACCAAACCATGCGTTGACATTCAAGTTAATCAGTAAACAGCCTTGAAGTCTGTTCAAAGCAACGCGCTCAGCATGCATGCTCTCTCGCCGCTTTCGTGTGCAAGAAACAATTACTTATGTAATTGGGAATAACACAAGAAGGTACCTTTGGGATTCTCTGTGCTGAGTGTTAATGTGTCCAAAGGTCACGGGGACAAAGCCACCTTCAGGATTCTTCAGAGTTCAGTGTTCATGCTCAAGGCGCAGAGAACTGCATCGATATTCGTAACATTCTTGGGGATCACTTAGATATGGTTGCCCATGACCGAAGTCACCTTGAATGCATGCGATATTGTCGCGTCGCAGGAAGATAAGGAGGGCTGAGCCTTGGTGAGCTATTGGGATAGGCGACCAGCAGTGCACACCAGTTGTGCAGACATGGGGCTGCGTGCTGCACGATGGCCAAGGGGTGGCAGTACAGCGATGTGCTCAGTCCGCAAGGAATCTTGAGACTCATTGAGGCTTCCCTTCGTAATTCATTGGGATTATTACGCAATTATTATTGTCAATGTCTGAGGCACACAGAGGCACATTTTAGGTTATCTGTGTTCATATCCAAAACTCACAGAGCCACACTGACCTTTGCATGATTCTCAGGCGTCATTATTCATGCCTCGGGACCACAGAGATATCCTGAGACACCTTTAGAATTATCAGCGTCCACAGTGAATGGCGGAGGCTCGGAGAGCCGGGCTTCTAAAAGCGGGAACTGTAGGTGAATGCTCGTAGAAACCAAATATTAAATAAGGCACCGATCGGCCTTTTGTTTGCTTTCAGCTTTTGCCGGGCAGAAAACTCCCGGAGCGTTCCGCTTTGAACTCGAGCGCTTTTGAGTCCGCTTTGAAATTCACAGAGTGAGCCACCAAGCGAAAAGAACACGTGGGGCCAGTGCAGGCAGCGCTGGTAGAGTGACTTGCCACTGTGTCTACATCACCGAAGGCACAGGTGCTGGTAAATCCTGTACCGTTACCACATTTTCAGAGTGTAATCAGACTATAATCAGTGTGCTATCTTTCCAGCCATAGGAATTCGGAATTTCCATCAAGAGAGTGGGCTAATGCCCACCCTCTTGTTCAACTTGAGCAGGGAGACACTTTTGTCTTGAAAAATGGATGCGATGAGGTCATCAATTTGTGTTACTTTGAAAATACCAAACACAGGGTTATTGGGATTAAAAAAAGGGGGGGGGGGAATTATTGTGTTGTTAGCTTCCGTTAATGTGAGAACAGAAGTAGGCAATTAATATACAGCGTCATACAAAGCCCGCAAGCATATTGCAGAGTGCTGTTATTTCCGAGGTAAAAAAAACGAACGCTAATTTAAATGCCGACAACATGAATCTGTCCGGCCAGGTGGCGCTGTGGTTTTGATTGCCCGGCCAAAAAGCCCCGAAGCTTTCGAGTTCAAATCCCAGGCGGCGGATAAACTCACCCTCGCATCCCGGTGAGCTCATCGGAGTGAGCACCAAGTTGTGGAGGCGGTGGCCATCCCTTGGCCCCTGCAAACTGCTGGCATTGCTCATTTGGGCCGGACAGACCCCCAGGGGCTGGACAACATCGCCACTCCTCAAACCTAGCACGGCTAGCGATGGGAATACTCTCCCGTCGCATTTTTCTCCGCCGTTATATTTCGGCCACGTGAGCGGCGTCGTGCCAAGAGACGACATCCACTTCGACGGCAGTGCGAGAGAGTATTCTCCCATCGCACGGTAGCACAGCAAACACTCGTCAACGAATTGACGTTTTTTTTAAAATCACAATAGGTGGTAAATGTTCAATGTGCGTTCGCAAAGGGTGTTCAGTGGAATACAAGCCAAAGTGTGTGTTGTCCTCAATGCAGAAATACACGCAGCTGTTTAGTTTTAATGTATGTCCTCCCAATTATAATAATCCGAAACACGCCGCCGGCATAATGTGATTAGACAAACACACTCGCGTTTAGGAATTCTGATACTGAGCGGCAACATCAGTCAGAGGCCGGCCCAGGAAAATTACATCACCATGATACTTCTGATGTCACTTAACTTCAGTTCATCTCTTTAACCACAATTGGGGCCACACAAAGAGCGATTGTCAATTGAGCCATTGGTGTTTGTTGGATTAATCAAACTCGATGAGAAATACATGTAAATAATTGAATTTGCATTTAGTGGTGAGTGGGCTAATACGAACAGTTCACCGCACTCAATAACCTTGTTTAATCATGGGCAGCTGAGCCTGGATTCGAACCCAAGTCCTCAACAGTGAGAGGTACGACCCAGCAATTGCTTGCTCACGCCACTGCTCATGCCACTCCACTAGAGGGAGCTCTGGAGAACCCCAGTAGAGGGTACTCTTCCCCACAGGCCACTTCACACCACCGCAGTCTAACCTACCAGGCGGAGGGGAGATAGAGTTGGGCGGGGGGGGGGCGATTTAAGGAAAAACTTTCCCCGTTGTTTCAGCTGCCGAGGTTGACCCGGCGACCTCTGCATCGCAAGTTGCAGTGCGTTAACCGCCACTACGCCACGGCAGCAGCATCGCCGCGGCGTCGCCACCGTCGTAATTGCCGTGGTGCCCCCATCACACACAAATCGTCGAAACTTGGTGCCCATTGTTTCGACTGGCGCGCTCTCGCGTACGCCAAGATTACTTTTGATCGCCGAGCGTGGCGTGGAGCGGTGGAGGAAGGGGGGTGGGAGGGGGGGGTTTGGGTTGGAGTGCGGTGGCGGTGGTGAGTGGGGGGGGAAGTGAGGACTCACCTCCTCCAGCAGCTCCCGGACCTGGCGCCCCACGTCGTCGAGCCGGGCGAGGTGCGCGGCGGCTTCGGCGACGCGGTCCCTGCGCGCGAAGTCCCGCACGGCGCTCGCCACGGCGGCGATTCGCCGCTCCAGCTCCGCTCGCCGCTGCGCCAGCCCCGACACCGCCGCATCGTGCTGCTTCTGCAGCCGCAGCTCGCTGAGCGGCACAGGGCGAGAGAAAGAGAGCGAGCGAGAGAGCGAGGGAGCGAGAGAGTGGGACGGGAGAGAGAGCGCGTGTGAGTTTGAGGGCGGGGGAAGGAGACCTGCCGGCAGCCGGTTGCGCGATGGAAGAGGAGGTGGGAGGGATGGAGGGGGTGAGAGAAAAGAGGTGCGGGAGCTTGTGAGGATTTTTTCTTCTTTCTCGGAGACGCCTGTGGGAAGCACTGAATGGGATTCTAAAGCAGATGGGGTCGTATACACGCCAGGGAGAAGCTGCAGCCTCAGGGGCTCAGGGATGAAAGTGGCTCCTGAATGATCTCAGGCGTGCGCGAAGAAATGCCATGGCATTCGAGGCAGAGTGCTCTGCCTCGAACGCAAGCAGAAGGTTCCAAGAACAACTCCCGATCGCGATCAACTTAGTGGTCGATAAAAATGAGGTACCACCTTGCGGTAATTCAACGGTGGTTTCATTCAGCGTATATATTCCTGTGGCGCACGCCGTAGGAACGTGAGATTTCCACCGCCTCGCATCAGCACGGCTGGCTTGAGCAGGGAGCCACTCTTACTTTTGAACAGGTAACCTCGGGCAGGCTTCCTGAGGTCTGTCTTTGGAGAGAGGTGATACTCAGTAGTCTGCGTCGCCTCTCGCAGCGGGTGAGGCAAAGGACAGCGAATGAACTATTCACACGGTAACTTAACGGTCACGGGGAAAACACGATTGCCGATTGTCAGTCTGGCTCTCGCAGCCCCCCGGTGGCGGCAAGGGTTTGTCTGAGAGCGAAGGAGACAGACAGGGTCACAGAGGAGGGAGGCTGCTTCCGAAACACGGCCACTGGGACCGCGCAGGAAGATGTGGGTTATTTTTTCAACGCAGGGCTAAATAATTAATCAGGGGGCACCGCACCAATTAGGGACGAGTATAGCGGACCACGAGGATACGGTCTGTGGCGGCGTGAACAAAAAAAAATCACTGGAAGCGAAGGGTATGTATTAATTCCTTCGCACGCACGCTAACAGAAGATATCCCTTCGAGCCCAGAACTGCTTGTTCGCGAACGTAACGTTAGCGAGCGTCTATGAAGGGTGACACCCTGCAAGAGGCGGGTGCAACTCATTGTGCCACTCCACCATGCGGCACTCATACGCTCGTGAAGTCCACTTGGTCGGACAAGGTCAGAGACGCAAATGTCTAATGGTGTTGGTGGAAAGCAATTAAACGTGAGCCCTGTTATGGTCGTAGGTTAGCATAACGACTGCCGTGTTAATGATGAACCCCGTGCCAGACGTGGGAAATGTGTACAATTACAATAGCTACGATGGTGCGATCAACAACGTCGAATGGATATTTTTTATGATTACAAATACGCGTGTCTACAGATAAATACGTTCACCTCCATCGGAGGCCAGTCTCATGAAAAGACAACCACTCTTGACTTCGCACAAACTGGTACTTGTTGTGTGGACTCAGACGCGATGATCGTCAGAGTCGAGTCTTTTAGGTTTGTCTAATAACATATTTGTTTTCGCTTGCAAATCCATCTGTGTAAGGTGTTTCTGCCCCCCCCCCCTCGCATATATAATGGTCGTTTTTAGTTTTTCTTCGGGCTTTTTTGTTCAGGGTTTTATTAGGTTTTATTCGAGAAGGGTTTGTTATGGGTTGGGTCATATTACATGAGAAGCGTTGCGAGGCCTTGCATGGATGGTGCTGTAGAAACGCAATATTAGGCCGCTAATTGTATTTATTATTTCACCTCGCATCTCTGAATGGCAGTGGTTGTCATACACAGAGACCATGGGAATGGATAGTTTCCACGAGTGGCTCAGGTACCACCTCTGAACCAATATTTTACTGGAAAAATATAGAGAATAAACACGAACATCCCAAGTGACGATGCCCTTCTCTTAACCTCCGATTAGCACGGTTGGCTACATACGGTGCGAAAGAAGTGCAACATACGTACATAACCCGTAAGAATATATTTTGATACTGTCAAGAAAGTTCCCATGTTACACGTACATAACACTGGCCACATATTCGTGTTCGTTCAAATCAAAGCAATGCACTGCATTTTTTGGCATCAAAGTGTGTCTCCGTTGTCGCCGCTTTTCCTTTAGGATTTGGGGCCCGGCAAAGCGCTGGGCACACACGGCACGCCTACCTCCAAGCCAGCTGTGCTCGGAGCGCGCTAACCTTGTCGCTACCCGGCGGCAGTGCAGCTACTGTAAAGCTAGGTAACTCCAGCACTCGGAAGGTCACCTGTTTGTTGCGGCAATTCCCGAACGCAAAGGGCATTGCCCGTAAGCTATCGGCATGCACGCGTGCATAGCTGCCTGGCCACCTCTGTTCACCGAGTCCAGAGTAGTCGCCACGGCGGCAGCGGTGGTGCGGTGTCGGCCATTCGCAGGTGGTGCGGTGTCGGCCATGCGCACGTGGTGCAGTGTCGGCCTTGCACAGGTGGTGTCGATGGAGTGCTCTTGCCAATAGCATCTGGTAACCCAGCAGAATTAATTTAACAAACCTGACTCTGCCGATGAGACCTAAACGGTAAAAACCAGTCCAGAGTTTACTTGCTTAGACAAAACACTGATGGATAAGGCTGATCTGGAAATCCAAGAGGCCAATTGACTAAAATATATTATTATAATTTATATGCGCAGACAGAATAGAGTTCCGCTTCATTATATATGCATTTTCAACTCCATCGGTTTGTTAATCCTGCAACACACGATGGAATCTGTGCGATCCACAAACCCTGCCGCCGAAGTGTGAGATTACAAATGCTGCGCCACCACGTCTGGCGTAAAGGAGGAATGGGAGTTGTGAATTCCCAATGACTTAGGGCCAGGATAATGCGGCACAGTGTATGGGAGCCTCCTCCCACCGAACACAGCCACAGGTCACGTGAATACAAACTTGCAGTGGCTGGGTGGCTCAGGGACTAATTCCTTTGTCAGACTCCTGAACCAACAGCAGTAAAATCTCAGGAATTCCAGACGGTTCCATGAGATAAAAAGCACATTGGTGTGTGGCTTTTAATCGCTATGTTCAGTTTTCCAAAGGCATTCCAACCATCTCCACAGACGGCCGCTGTGGAGATGGAGCTATGAAGTCACCACGTTTGCAGGAGATTGATGAATTGTTGAAACATTGCGAGACCGTGAGAGATAGCAATGGCTTGAGGAGACCTTCATTCAGCAGTTGATATATAATGGATAATCTTGATTTGAAGCTGTCGTGACTGCAGGAATCCATCCTCTTTGGTTCTTTCGGTCACGTATGTAGAAAAATAAAACAAAATAAAAATAATATATCACGACGTTTCGATCGCAGAAAGAATGTGTGTAGTTTGGTGATTACATACTCGTGCCGTGTCTTCAGCTGCTGAACAACAGCTTCGTTGGAAATAAATAACGTTTTGTGCGAAAGCGAGATTCTCAGTTGCCCTGCCGCCGTAGCACCGTTCGTGACTTCACTGGGATGTAACTTCCCGCTTGACTCACAAAAGATGTTTGGGTCAGGCCACAGAATCATCTGGCAAAATTTCTGCCATATCACCCTCTGCTACCTCCTCCACTCTCCGACTAATTCGATTGGAATGCGTGCAAGCGCTTAATTTGATAATTACTATTGTTTCAGGTCACTGGTAAGCTTATCTTATCTGATACAAATTTATGTAGTCCCTTATTCCAAGGCGCTCTGCAACAATTATACAAATTGTACATACGATGATCGTGGTTGAAATAAAGAGTGGGGTTCTTATTAAAAGTGGTGGTGTTGCTATGGTTACCGTAAGGATGACAGGTCGGGGTGCTGAAGGAGATATTGGGGTTGGTGTCGTAACAGGGGTAGTGATAGGCGTTATGATAGGGGTAGTGGTAGTGAAAGAGATAGGGGTAGTGGTAGTGAAAGAGATAGGGGTAGTGAAAGAGGTTGGGGTAGACATAGGGATAGTGAAAGGGGTAGGGGGTTGAGGTAGGGGTTGGGGTAGGGGTTAGGGTAGAGGTTGGGGTATGCATAGTGATAGAGGTAAGGGTTGGGGTAGGGGTTGAGGTAGGGTAGGCCTACTCGAATCTGGGGGGTCGGGGCAACGAGTAGCAGCAGTAGGACGGGCTAGGGGAGAAGAGATGGGGGTTGTTTTAAGGAAAAAACAGAAGCAGGTCAGTGAGGACGACTGTTTCATGTGCAGTGGGAGTTGCTCCCAGTGAAGGGGAGGAAGAAGGGGACAGGAGAGCGAGAGAGCGAGACTGGGCGCAGAGTTGGGGAGGTGCAGAGAGGGACGGTCGAGACTGGGAGCGTGGCGGACGGGATGGGGCAGAGCAGCGAGAGATGAGAGAAGCAAGCTGAAGAACAATTCTCACGACCTGAATTTTAGCAATTAGGTCCGCACCATTTCCACTTGATATAACGCCAAGCGTCATCAGGAAAATCCAGGCGGTTGTAATAGCCACGTGGCATGGGTTACATTGGCAAGGTGCTCTTCATCGAGTTCGCGTTGTTTGGGTGGTGAAGCGTCCGAGTGGACATCGGGGACACGGTGCCGTCCTTGAACTCGCTGCAGAATCAGAATGTTTCATCAGAGTGGAGGAATCCGATGAGCTATGAAGCTCTTTACCACAGGTGTCCCAGGAGTTTAAATGCGATCACTGCGCCACACGGTGACACACAGCAGTCCGCACGGCCCCGACACTCAACCCGCGGCCACGCTGGAGATTTTTCACGTCCGTTATTAGGGCGGGAGCACTCCGCTACATCACGACGCACGGCGCACGACGGAGGTCACCCCTCGTCGCCCTACGCAGCCCAGTGGCGCAGACGGAAATTCTGAAAGCGTTGAGTGGCGTCGGAGCGCCGTGAAGCCGGCAGCGAGAAATTGGGACGGGGAAACGAGATGTTTTGCCGAAGAAGAAATTGGCGTGCATCGGAATCGCACTGCGCTCGATGCGCTTCAGCAGCTTCTTGCATTCACCGCCAATTGTCAATTGTTTCTCTCAAAATTCT